GGGGGTGTGATACGTCGTTTTGCGAGATAAACCTCACGGAGAAGGAGGGTAACCTCAGCAACTCAGTTCATGGAATTGCATTATGCATGAGCGGAATCGAGATGATGGACGGTGCTTGAGGAGGAAAACTTCACGTTCGAGTCGCCTGATCGATAATGCCGTCCGACCTTACTCCCCAGCTTTAAAGACCATCCACAAAGTCCTTCCCGTCTGCCCAGAAGCCTTTCCAGAAGTGTTGGAGAGTCTTCGTCCCAGAGCGTGCAACGGCGATACACTGCAAATGACGGTAGACACCAAGAACACGGCCTGCTATGTCAGCAAATGCGTGACCCAGGAACCAAGAGGAGTAAATGCCCACCAAGTGGAAGTCCTCGTTGGGGACCAGAAGAGCAAGCCAGATAGAACAAGAGAATAGGAGCATGAGGACCATGTAACAGGCCAAGAGAACGGTTTGCCTTCTCATTTGACGTGGCTTCCAGTTCAAAGTCACGACTTGGCGAAAGATGTACCATCGATGAAAAAGTTCAGCGCCAGTCCCTTGGCCCAATTGATCGGATTTAAGAGAGTCAAGGAAAGAGTCGAAAGCGCAAAGCACGGCTGAGGTTGCGGCGAGTGTCAGGAGAGCGAGTGTCGAGTACTGGGCAGCTTGATGTGGTCGGACATGCACACCGGTGGTGACCACGAGACCAGAGTATACCGGGCTGATGAACGCCAAACACCAGAGCCAGCTCTCTGAATTGACGAGACGATGCCACAACAGCCTCTTCAGGATGTCAGTCAGCTACTGATGTCCGCGAGAAGGGGCCGACTCACTTCTCCTGCAAAGTTCCAGCCTGTGCCGAGAAGCAAGACAACCGGCTTGTCGATGTTCAAGAGAAACAAAACGACGGAAGCTACAAGATGGAGCATCTCGATCGCAAAGATTCTGATGTTGAACCATTTGCTCTTCATCGAGGCCAGGGGCTCATACGGCTTCCTCAAGGAGGGTACAGCGAAGGCCGCATGGTTGGCACTCCGAATAGCAAGTGTAACGGACATGAGCGTTATGGCGATGGTGTCTTGTCGTACTGCCATGATATTCGCGCTGAGGACATGCGTAATAGGGTGGACGAACCCTGTATAGCGTAATGGGGGGTGCTGACTTCTTTTACTAGCAGGCAAGTGCACGTGGACCGTGGACCATGGGAAAGTCTGACGGCTGACGGCTTTTCGGACTCGAAATTATAAAGAATCCAGCGCTCATTAGGTTTAGGCTCAAATGTACATACTCATAATGCTGTTTCCTTCGAGCACACGCAAGATGGCGAATGATCAGGGGCAGAGGGCAAGGACATACGGCTTCAAGGGGACTCCGGGGAAGAACGCAGTGCGTGTTGTATGCGTCCGCTTGTCTTGACAAGGGCATTAAATCAGGACTCTTGGGAGTGTGTGCCGGAATTCAAAAGGTCGATTTGGATGTCGAGACAGCTTGACGTTGCAACCCGAGGCCGACACGGGCGACGCGCACCGACTTCGAACCCCGCCTCGTCTGGATGAACTTGCAGCCCCAGTCGCCGTAGTACTTGCGCCTGTCAAAAATCAGGTACTTGGACCAACTACGATAGCAGATCACCCCCCCAAACATAAGCTTTTCAGCAGCGTCAACTTAGAGACGGTACGGGGCGTAAGGTGTTGACAAGTACTATGTATACCAGTTGAGTCGTTGCTCGGAGACCCACCCTGCTGTTGTGCAGGGCCAGCGGATTCCTGAATCCCTGAAGCGATGTACAACCTTTTGATCGGCCGGCAGTCAACTTTCCACGGTTTTGGAGCTTTCCTGTGGGTGTTGTAAGCGCAATTCTTACACCCGGTACGGGGCGTAAGGTGAAATAAGTACGCTGTGCAGCTTGGTCAGATCCCAGCTTCGGCGTCTGGGTGTGTGTGGGTCCGTTCAGGAGGCTGATGGCTTGGAAAACGAGCGGCGCCATCTGGCTGGCGTTGGCGCCGGGCCGTGCCAAGGATGGCGCGGTCGTTGGATTGCCACAACATCGGTCGAATGTGGAATTCGATAAGGTGTCTTTCGCATTGCAGTGTCACCATTCGAAACCGATATTATACGGTTCTGGACGGATTGCGACTCTCCAGAATCAGCGATGTAGGAGGCCAGCCGCGCCGCTCCAATGACCAAGCAGGTGACCCGACCCACCATCATGTGCCCGGGCTGCTGACTCCAGCGTGGCAACTGACCCGACCAACTTTTACGCATCGGCCGCGAGCAATTGGTCTAGCCAGTTTCGTCAATTCTCTGGAGGAATTCTCTCTATACTCGTACATTCGTACATTCGTTCCTGGTGTGCTGTCCGACTAATTTAGGGAAACACTGCCCAGTCCCACGTTGTGCATGCATGTCCATCGTCTGAGATAATCTACTGTCCTGAAGGCTGCAGAAGCTGGTAAGCCAGCAAAAACACCTAAACATAGGCTAGCAGACAGAAACTAGCGACGTAGTCGATCACTCCCTCTGCGCTACACCATTCTCAAGAATGGCCATGGCCCTCAACGTACAGTGGTGGCTCGTCTCTGCCCTGTTCAGAGCGCCTCAGGTCCATGCAAGGGCTCTGTAACAGGAAGCTACAACCCAAGCCCCCTCTCTTGTCCACACCCTTGTTCACGACAAGTCTCCTCCCATTGCCCGAGCTCTTGCCACTTGCAGTCGGACTACATACCAAGCATTTCCCACGAAGACGTAGCGAGTAGTGCCACTTTTGCTCACTCCTTCCTGGTCAACTCTCTGTCGTCAATCCATCCTGGAATCGCTGCTGCGACTGCATCACTTGCCCAAAGGTGCATTGAAGCGCGTTGAGCTGTTGCAGTATGCTGCTCTCCTCCATATCCACTGGTGCGGCGGAGTGGGGGCCAAGCCGGGCCTGTGTCGACATCGCTGGTCTTCCTGAGACGGGACGGTGATCAGGCGAGCCAAAGCAGCGATGCAGACCTTGATCACGTATCAGGTCTTCGAGCCGGTACGGGCAGTTACTGATGTAGTGACTGGTGTTGTGCTGGCCTTTGTCGATGCCGTCACCGTCGATTTGGATGTCAATTTTGCATGCTGGAGATACAGCCTGCACTTGGAGTGAACGTTCATAAGAAGCCCAGTTCTGGTATGCCTTCAAGTCCTTCTCCTCGCAAACTCTGATCCTCTTGTACTCCAGCTCATCGCCGCGATAGAGGAAGTGCGCCTCGCCCCGACACAACCTCAGTAGGAGGCCAAAGAGCGCGGCGCCGGGGGCAAGACGGCAACGCAGGGCCAGCTCACAGGCGTGCGGCGATCGATAGAAGGTGGGAGTGGCTGCCAACTCTACATAGAATAGGCTCGAGATCAGCTGATTGGTCATTTGCTTCACAAGCACTCGGCTGATAGGGCCACCGTTGTATTGGACCAAGCAATCACATCTCCGCCCATACTGACGCTGGAGTTCGACCAGAGATCTAGCGTATGGTCAGTGCTTGGCCAGCCTGGTATCAATCGCAGGACTCACGTGCTGTCGGCCTCAGACTGCGCCATCGCATTTGACAGCAGCTTTCTCTTGGTGTGTATGACGAGAGCAGGCTGGTTTACCGACCGAACGTCTCGCAGTTCCCACTTCAATGCTTTTCCGAAGTTGATGGTCCCGTTCCACGATCTAATCCATGACTGTTTCGGGCGGACAAGTCGACGCAGGTGGTGTTTGCAGTCCTCAAGTGTCCACTTCTCAAGAAAGAGGGCGAGCGCGAAGAAGATCCCTACAACAATGAGATCGCGAGCGGAAGAACGCACACAGGAGAACGTACCGACGTTTGAGGCCAAAACCACATCGAAACTGTCAGACAAGGAGTTGCCTATCAAACTGATCGAGCGATGAATTGATCTGAGAAACTCCATGGTCTTTGCCGCCTCCACACCACCCAGATCGAGGACGCGTATGCCCGCTGTCGGAGGGCGCAGCTTGAATGAAGCAGCATTGGGGAGCCCGCACAGTGGGCATTGTAGGACGGCTATCGTCCCTTGGCCCTCGAGCGCGCCGCAGATCACCGTGCATGCATTGCAAAGCCGATGCCTACAGTCTAGTGTCTTCGTTGGGGTGTGTACCGCGCAGACTAAACATGTGTCTTGGGATTTGACAGACAACCACGATGCCTGCCCACGTCTCAACACAGCTTTATGCGCGGCAGCGAAGGCAACCGAAACTTTCAAGTTGTGGCTCGCGAGGGCGACGAACCTCTCCCGAATTTGTGGCGCAAGATCGCATCGGGCTGGTACAAGATCGGACACGGCACGGCGTACCTTGTCTTCATACAGTTCGGAATAGACCATGGCAGGTGGGAAGCCTAATGGCTCATCAGAACCAGCCTGTGCATAATGCAGCATCGCGGAGCGTCACGGGGCATCAACGTACCATGCATTCCTGGAGGATAAGCGTTCATAGAGAGCGCGGATGCCAGGATCTCCGCTTGTTCCATGCCTTCCAGCGCCGTCGCTCGCAAGAAGCGGGTTAGCTGCTCGGACAGATCATCTGGCAACGGGTTGGCTCGCCTTGCGAGTTGGCATAGTGAGAGTGGGAGAGACGGAGACTCTGTGAATTGAGCCATGGCGTCTCTGACGAGTGTCTTCCAGTGCAGTGCGGAGAAGTGTATGTCTGAGAGATGCCGCTCTCGGCAGGCACGCAAGGCAAGGGACGACAACGATGTCGCAAACGCAGTCCCTGCCTGTGCTTCCATGGTTTCGAGGTGAAGAAATGATCCTATCATGTCGCGGATCTCGGCAGCTGTGTACGCTCGCAAGGGGTCGCTGAGGCGGAGTAAGGATAGAGTTCTAGCCACCAGGCGTGACAAAAAGTCTCTCAGATGAAGGGACGCGCCTGCCTCGGTCACCAGGACGATCTTAGGACTATATGGCGGGGATTTGTTCATGGCTGAGCGAAGCCAGTCGATGAGAAGATCTGTGACTTCGGAGGTGCTGCTGAAATCCTCGACGAAGACAAGGACGACCGCGCTGAATGACGCGAGCAGCTGATGATAGAGGGAGTAGGCAACCTCCTTCTGGCTATTTGCAGCGCATCTCATCTCATACCTCGCATAGTCGCCCTTGATCGGACCCCCTTGGATACGCGGAGCATCTCGAGAGGCATGGAGCTCGCAGTCGATCAGAAATGTCAGTGGTGACCCAAGGGTGCTGAGGGTGACAGCGCCTGATTGTCCCCGGCCAGAGAGCAAGGGGAAAGACTTAGTAAAAACCTGCCGCTTGGTTGTTCGTCCAATAGCCATCAAAAACTGCGGCTTTTCATGGCCTACTGCATCCAGCTCTTCATATGCTGCCAGGGTTTCTATAAGGTAAGGGCCTCCCAGCCCAGGAGCGCCCGAAGCCAAACTCAGCCAGAGCTGCGACGCAGACATGGCGTTCGTTGCTGGTGGTCAGGCCTGGTGTCACAGCGATCGGGGCGATTGCGGACGCAACTCTGAGTGCAATTCTCCGGAAGCCGTCTGAAGGCTGGTGATGCTGATCCACCTCAAGGAAGGCCGTCACAATGAACCTCTGTGGAGGACACTCTACTATGATATGGCGACCCTGACTGGTCCGCGCGCTGGTTTTATTTTGACTTTTGGCAACTGATTTTCAATGCCTTTTCGCGGATCAGATGTTCGATTGGCACGATCTCGTTGTATTGTCAGCAGGAATCCCCAGGAACACAGGGCTCAAGGCTGTGTCAGTCAGTGCGAGCACATTGTTCGGCGGCTGCGTAACGCGCGATGCTGTGGAAAGCACGAAGGCACGATTTTTTTATGCACGCACTTTCAAAAGTGGAAGAACATCGAATATTATTGCAAGGACATCTATACGTGAACATCCTCGTCAGCTGCCATTATCATCTGCCAGCGGCATTGGGCACGAGCGGCCCATGGAAACGACCACGTGCAACTTCAATGACTGAGATATCAATGGCACCTGTGTGGCCTCTGGTTAACGTACGTCTAGCTAACGGGAGATCGCCGTATCAGGCCCTGCTGATAGCTCCATTGCGTCCTTGGGCCAGGACCGGGCCACGTTGTCAGCAACGGGGACAGGAGGTTCCGCAGCAGGAGATTTCGCCCGCCGGATATGCCGGACGCACTGCCATACAACCAGAGCGCAAATTGCTACAAATATAGCGCTACCGACAGCAGCCCCGACCAGGACCTTGGTTGATACCTGTGAGGCAGACACGTGCCTGGCACTTGGCTCCGATGAAGGTGCCTCCTGAGACGGACTGGATGGTCGAGTCGAAGATGTTGTGTAGTACCCCGCCGAAGACGTCGTGAAAGTTATGGAAGGTAGAACTGAGGGCAAGCTCAGCGGTGCATCGATGGACAGAAATGGTTGGCGGTGCGTTCTGTTGCTCTGCAATTTGGCCGGAAGAAGATCTCGCCGCGTGCAGCATCCCAGAAAGGGCGGAGTGATATCGCGGCATGTCCACCACACGGACACGCCTTTTGCGTCTTCGCAGTCCTGGGCTGGAATCGCAGCGTACTGATTGGCTGAGAAGGACGACGGGACAAGCTCGTCTTCTGGGCACTGGCCAGACCCATTGGCACAGGGGTCGGAAAGGCAGCAGCCGACGAATTCCGTCGAATTAGCTTCGCAAACGTAGAACTGACCTTGGTCCGGGCAACGGAGGCCCAGTTTGCCAGGTGCGACGGCCATCGCGACTGCATTGACGATTGCTGGCTGATGCGGAGGCGAATGTGGATGGACCAGGTGATTTATCTCCATGGCTGGGGCCGGGAGTCTGGAAGTGAGAAGCGAGATCTAGCTGGCGTTGCCGCCTGGTCGTGCCAAGGATGTTGGGCGCCTGGTCGGCGCCTAAGCCTAAGGCAGGGCAGCGACCACGGCTGTCGTCGCCCCCTGACCACAGGTTGGACTACCTCTACAGCAGCCTTCTTCTGGCAGTCTGCAGAAGGTCGTTATCCACGTCCAGATCAGCATGATCATGAGCATGAGGATCGAATGGTGCGTCTATTGCTTCGCTGTCAAATAATGCTGGTTGCACCCATCGGACTCTAATTGTCCAGGCTATGCTATGTCAGCCTTGACTTCAGCAAAGTAGACTGGCACGGTCAAATCAATAGTAAAACGGCGCAAGGCGCTCTGATGTTCAATCTGTGATGATATGTTCTCCACAGTCGTTGTCTGCAGGATAGCTGCGGGGGTTGCAGTAGATCTGTGATCCCGTCAGTTTCGTCACCACACCGGGAGACCTCCCACGGCATACAGCGAAGTCGCACAGAAGGCACATCAGGCGGACTGTCGGCAGCCAATTCATTGCATCTTCTTTTCACAAATCAGGTCCACTTCAATACGCGGAGGGAACAACCTGAGCCGCACTCGGTCATTGCTTTGCCTCTGATCCTCACTCACTGGCATCAAATCAAGCAGGACCCTGCCAAGAAAGCTCACTGAAATGCAGACATGCTCAGAGTCATAGTCAGCGCTCGCAGTGGTGATCGACAGTACCAGGCCATTGGCACGCCACTCTGCACGATGCCGGCGCACTCGGGCACTCAGGCCTGAGGCAACAGAAGAAACATGTTACCGGGCTAGGAACTATCCCAGGCGTAATTAAAGGGACCAAAACAGCGATGCTGGACAGTGGCGTCGCTTAAAGACACCCGTGGAACATTGCATCATCTAGCCTTGACTACGTGCTGCACTTAGTAACAATAGTTGAAATCAATCGGTCTATTTGGATACCAATACGAACTGATTCAGTCGCTCTAGCCCGCTGAGCTCGGACGGTGGTGCGGACGAAAGAATGAAAAGCTGCTGCAGCGAGCGGCGAGTTTCACTTGTATGCTTCTAGCCTTGACTGGAAGTTTTCGTATTCTTTGACTTTTTCAATCGGCGGTGGGTAAAGTAGTTGTATTCAGGATCTTCCATCCGCGCCGGCACCTTCAATCTGTATTGGCCTTCTTCTTTCCTTTTGCCGGCTCGGAGACACTCCTTCAGCCACTCGTAACTGACAATGTGGACGCCTTTCCAATCTCTGTGGGGAATGCACGTCGTAAAGCCTTCTTTATCGGAGAGTTCACTCTGCGAAGTCACTAGGTGCGTGAGTTTCGGGTCGTCATACTTAAAAACACATTCGCCGTGAAGGTCTTCGATATGACGTTTGATTCTACTGAATTCGGACCACTCAGATGGCGCTGGATAGTTGCTGGTGAAGAGGATAGAACATCCAATCAAAGCGCGAAAGTGGCCCATGGCTTTAGTTTAAGTCGGGTTTCGTACGCCTGTTCGAAGAAGGACGAGCCACGACTGGTGACAAGGCCGATGCGGTCCTCAATAAATACTTTCTGTGAGGATGGCTCGCCCATTGGAATTCAATTTCGGAGTCGCGAATGTCAACTGCGTTTCTACTCCGTCCTGGTTTTGGGCATGCATGGTGAACCTGACCAGAATCGCACCTTAGCTGCGAGTAAGGGGTTGCCGAGTGCCAAGCTGTGGAATATTTAGAAACCAGGTTTAAGCAGAACCGAGCTTATTCCCATATGAACATGACGACCCATCATTCGATTCAGCATTGAAACTTGCTCTGTTTCTGATTGGGGCGCCGCGGCGAAGGATGTGGTGCATGGGCAAACAGACTCCACAGTGCAAAGTCAATTCGGGATTTAATACTGAGGATGAGCCTTTCCCGGCGCTCGTACTCGTTCACAGAAATCTACCTGACCGCCCTTACGTTTGAGTGCCCTGACGCTGGAGTGCCCTAACGCTGGAGTGCGTATTGCCGGTACGGATGGTTTGCTAGCGATGAACGTTCACAGCCCTTGCAGGCTAGCGAATAGACTAGATATCATGTTCCATTCCAAAAAAAAAAAAAAAGAAGCCTGCACGGCTCCAGGGATGAAATTCTCACTCCTCATCAATATGCGAAATCCTCATTGAGTGATGGTTTTCATCTTCAGCCTCCGTGTACTACAAACCTCTTCTCGCGTGTACATTTCTCGTGGTGGCTAGCCTGCCTCATCATACGTACCATTCAGGTGATTCGACTAAGGTCGGCTCAGAAGCCGTCAGAAGCCGCACATCCGACTCTCGAGTGGGATCGGCTGGCCAAATCTAGTACCTACTCGCCCCGAAATAAGCAAGACGCCGTCTTTGTAGTGATCCTAGTTGTGATGCGTTGCTGCTCCTGGTATTCATCTCGGCCCCTTAACACTGGTCCTGGCTTGCAATCTTCCCTGCCGCCGGTCGGGTTCCACCGCTCTTGTACCGCCCTGCGTCATTTTCGCGTTTTGGGAGCGATTCAGAAGAATGGTTGTTCCGGTAATGTTGTCGGGCTTGCTCAAGCCGTGGAAACCCGTTGTCTTGTTGGCTGCGAGAGCATCCAGGCTCTGAACAGATGTACCGACTCCTAGCAAACCCACCCTCTCCATGGACTTCACGGAGGTGTCGCGCTAGGTTTTTCTTTGTGCCAATGGTTTTCAGACAATAAAGACAAGAAGATGGCCCATCAGTGCCACAAGCGGCGTTATCAAGGTCGTCGATCCTAAGAAAGTTCCAAGTCTGAGCGAAGGATAGGAATTGTAGACCGGGGTGAGACAAACGTTTGATGCGTACGGGAGTCTGAGGTTGTATGGGATCTCAGCAAGGACTGACCGGCAGCAGTTGATCCCGGTGATGGCGAAGAGCCTCTGCTTCCCTCGTCGGACTCTTGGGATCGGCGCATCGAATCGCCAAGTGGTCGATCAGGGGCCGGCGGGTATGGGATTACAGGAGTCAAGGATGGCCCGTTGCGCAAGGAATGCGGCTGTTGAGCATCTTGACGAAGAACCTTCGAGCTGAACGGAAGCGGCTGCGCACTTGGCCAGTACATAGTTCTTCCAAGCGGTTCTCCAGCAGACTTGGAAGGATGAAGGGTAATGGCTATCAAGCTGTTGGAGGACGCCGGTTCAAAGATACACTCGATGTTCGCTTTCCTGCACCTCTTACATGCCTCTTCGCTCCCAGACTGAAGCCCTTCACAACGAATCTAATTTCAAGTTAGAGAAGCCGTGTAGAAAAGGGACCAGGCGTCGAGCGGCCGTATGGAATGGACTAACCTTCCTCCTACGACAACGGTTGCAGGCAACCGTCGTCCGCTTATCCCGAGGAATCGCCACGACGCTAGAGAGAGTAAAGCATGGAGGATCGTCTGACGCAGCCAATAGAGCAGGGCCGTGATCGGGCCTGTGGAATCCTTGGTTAGACTGCGCTGGGTGGCTCATAGGGCCCGAAGTTAAGTATGGTGAAGGATGTTGGCGTGTAGAGATAGACGTTGGCAGAAACTCCAAGTTATCGTTGGCTTGGGGCTCTCCAGAGGCGTCTTCAACTTGGCCGCCTCTAAGACCACGTCCAAGATGATTGCCATCCTCATTGGGTGAGTGATCTCTTTGGTCTGGGGACCGGTCGTGTCGTTCTGTATTCCCACCTCTTGATTCATCGTTGAGGATCGCCGCTATACTATAGCTGCGACGGGGGCAGGCCGCCACAGGCCTCAGGGAGTGAGGTTGCAATTCGCCGTCATTGATTTGACTTTCTTTACTGTTGTCATCTAGTAAAGACCTGGAGCTGTTCGCGTTGGGGCTCGGATGCGTAGTAATCGACATGAAGCCTTCGGTCACCTCGGTACTGAGAGGTCGGGGCTGCGAGGACAGTGATGGGCCCGAGATGCCGTTCACTCGTCGACGTTGGGCACGCGGAGAGCATGACCGGTCCGACCCGTTTGGCCCGGGTCGCTTGCGCTTTAAAACAAACACCTCCTGGTGCTCGCTCGAACGGATGCTGTTGGTCGAAATGTGTTCATCACGACTGCCCTCATTTTCATAGCGAGAATCGGTTGTGGCATCGACTGTATCCTCTGAAGAAGCTCGAGGGGGACAGAATTGGTCGTTTTGGTCATGAAAGCCTGGCGTCCTTTCCGAAGACATTGTAGTAGGACAGGTTCAAAGAAATGTTGAGTGACGATGAGTGAGAGTGAAGTGGCGAGAAGGGATGGTGACGAGGAGTATGAGTAAAGTGAACGAGGAAGTGAGACGATGCCCCTTTTCGCGGGCACACCGGCCGGCTTTTATTGCCGCTAGCCCCCCAGGTGCACTCTTGTTGGGCGTGGATCAACTGCCCAAAACGGATGTTGACTTCTCAAGTCGGTATGACGAGTTCCAGTACCTTAGGCTTGCCAGGAAACAGCTTACCCATCTGTGCAAGGTCCTTGCTTTGCTTCTTCTTGTCTAGAAAGTCCTGAAGTACTTCCTCGAAGCTGCCATGGTCATTTTCCGTCGGCCATGTCTACTCTTTTCTGCCTAGACGACGTGACCTCCCACAGTAACACGCTTCGCAAGATAGTCTTGCTCAGCTTGACTCTGCTCCAAGAACGGCTGGAAGATCCCGGCATAGTTGAGACGGGTGCTTTTGGGACGACCATGCTATCAAGGTCATATGTTGTTCGAAAAAAAAGAATGGAAGCGGGCCCAGAGTCATCATCTACGCACTCCAGTGCTGCGCACTCTAGTAAACTCATCTTTATGCCCGTTTCTTCCTCTTCGAGCCTCAGTCCTTGGTTCTGCTATGTCGTTCTTGGTGCTATAAAACATATGCAAGTATGAGTATAGAGACTCATGCCATGACGTAGACGAGGTAAATTGATTCCAAACGTACCTATCCCAAGTGTTCTTCAATTGATGGAGGGAGCCAGCTAATATCCGAACTACGAGAAAAGATGAAAGGACGACAACATGGCGAGGTACGATCACAGCACCTACATTCAACTCCCCTAAAAAAACATCCCCTCCCTCCACCGTCCGTCCGATTCAAGCTTGGTCCTTGCTCCGACGTCACTGGTGTCACCTATAGAGACGAAAGAATGGGCTCTTAGTTACCCACAACGCTGGCCTATTTGCCATGGCTTACCCAAGCTTAAAGCTCGGGGAGCTCAGACTGGTCATTGCGGGACCGTGCTCTCGCTTGCTAAACATATTTCGTTGATAGAGATGCGCTCGCAAGGCTGGCGGAGGTCGGACAGTACAACACAGGACAACGGCCGCCACGGCGACTGTCGGCAATTGAGGCATACACCGCCCGCCACGACCCGATTGCATTGGATGATCTCGTCTCGACGATTTGAGGAACTGCTGGCCAGTAGGTGGTTTAGCAAGTGACCCTTGTTTGGGCAGCCCGACTGCACCTGGGAGTTCATTGCAGCAGAAAGCTACGTGAAGCAAGATTACGAACGCAGCAGGGTAATCGCATGATTGCTATCCGTAGCAAAGCTCCGACGATGGCTGCTGCTGCATTGGCCTGGTGGAGTTTTGCCGTATTTCCGCTGTCTTCCGCGCGCATTTCTCACTCGAGTGCGCGTGCGGCCTACGTAGCTGACGCTGATACACCGGTCTTCATACTATTGACTGGCGCATTCAATAGAGAGCTTCATATGTGTGATGACCGGAGATGTATCCGGAAGCTTTGTTCCTACGGTGTGGGTGGGCTATTGTTGACCGAATAGACAATGATGGAAGCTGTCTGTCCATTCACGCTATCCAATGAATCCCCCCTCAGACTTGGAGTCAAGGGCACGGTTTCGAAATCCTTCAACAACTGGTACTGGATGTCGTTGTCGCCATGATCCTGTGCTTCATTGAAATCAGCCACAGAACGCGACGAGATCCGTGGGCTACGCTCGGAAGGCCCCGAGTCATCAATGCTCATGCTCATGATCATTCTCATACCATTTGCTGAGGTTTGGGGCCGGTTGCTGTGCCCCGACACTCGGGTATCTGCTACAGTCTCCGGACTTTGGGCGCGTCGGGGATGGCTCTCTGCCTTATCTGGCTCTTGACTATCCATACCTCACAAATTCGTGCTCTTGGGCTGGCTGCGATACCCGACCGGGCTGGTGATGGACCGCGGCGAATTTTCCTTGTCGTAGTCCATTGTATGTGCTACGTCGCTCCTCTGGCCCATTTCTTTCGTTTCAATAGCAGCCGGATCATTCCCTTCTGTGTCTGTGCTTTCTGAAGAGTAGAGGCGTGGCCGCCTGACTTGGTCGCGCGCCGAAGCTGCAAGCGGGGTGGTCTGACGAACGATCGCCTTACCAGTGCCATATTCGTCCGTTGACTCCGGAGACGCGAGATTATTAGAAGGTGGCACTGAGCTCCGCGATGCGGAGTTTCTGTACCGGAGCGGACTCGAGATGAATCGTGGTGATCCCTCATCGATGATGATGTGCGATGGGTTTCGTCGAGGTTGTTGGGTCGAGCATTACTGTTCACTGTGGAATGATCTGGTAGCATTCCGGGTCTCTGTAAATTGTCACGCGGCCGCTTGATATGACGACGTCGTGGTGCGTCTCGAATCTTTATCTCGGGCCACGAAGAGCGCCCGTGTTCGAATGCCCTTTTTGCTGTCAACGGTGGTGGGCAATCAGCCATCTCCACGTCATGAGATGAAGAGCGCGCAGACCTGATTGTTATTTCATCAGAATGAAGGTTGACAGTGGGAGAACGGCTTCCATTGCGATGCTGTGGTCCAGCACTGCGGTGGCGTACGTGACCGTCCAGGCTCACGTGCATCGGCGGCGCGCGCTCATCGACGCCCCATCGTAAGGTGCCGAAGAAAGAGGTGATCAAGTCTTGGAAGACAAAAGACGGTGTCAGATTTTTCCTTGTAGAACCTACCGGCTGGTTGGCAACCCAGAACCCGTCGTGTTGTAGGGCCAACAACGCCACGAGAGACGGCTTGCCGCATCGCCAATTCGCCGGCGTACTCATAGACCGCTGATCAACTGCCATAATGCCGCTCCACTGAGATAGCGAATTCGGTCTACTTTGTTCGATTCTACTATGACGAAAGCCTAATATATCTGCGCGGCGGCAAAGCGCCTGCACAAAGGCATCATCGACGCGCGCCGCGATTGCATTGCTGCCCACATTCGAAAGAGGGGCTTCGCGACTCAATCGAGGAAAGTGTCATAGCGTGGGTAGGATTAAGCCCAGGAAGGCCGCCTCGGCGCACGGTGGACCAGTCAGGCGAGTATAAACACCTTCTTCGCATTCTGAGACTGGCAACCGCGAATCATCCCAGAGCTCGCGAAGCGAACTGTACAGGGTCGGACGCTCAGCTTGAACCTCAGCGAAAAATCGCGGAGGACGGTATGATATGCTGGTTTCGGTGCGATCAGCTAACTCGGTGGCCTTGTCAGTCATGGACAGCGTGAAGATTGTCTTGAGGATTTTAGCGCCGATAGACATATATTTCATGTTTCCATCAAACAGCTCAAAGTTGCAGATGATTCCTCGGACCTTGATTATATTCCCCAGAAGGACATCTCGCTCTGCTGAGTCTGTGACGTGGCGGAACAGCTCGCCGTTGCTCATCTTTCGCTGAATAAAGTCGCGGTCGTCAGTGCTGGCGCATGGTGCTCTGCCTTGGAGAAGCCTGACGGACTGCAGGTCGCGGAGCGGTGGTAGGTGTGTCCCGCCCCCGAGAATCTCTTCCCATACTTGATGCATCCGAATTGAGGTACATCGCCACCATCTCGTCACAACGGGCCGCACTGATCTTCTGCCAGTTACCTAGCTTCAGCTCTGGCCACAGACCCTCGAAGGGAATTAACTTGACCAATGCGTCGACTGTAGCACAGTGTCCAAACAAAGCGGCCAAACATTTGCGTTTTGGCTTGGTCCGAATCTGGGCCTCCCAGGCTTTGCGGAGAAGGGGTTTCCCCTGGTGCCAATACTTCAACACATGCTGGCAAATCTCGCCATCGGTAGGGGGAAGACCCAGGCATGATTGGCTAGCTAGTTTCTCATAATATTGTCGTAGATGGGTAGGATCTGTTACTGGTTAGATTATCGTTCTCACTCGACCAGGGTTTCAGACCGAGATCAAAGCAGTGCAGACGAACGGGCCAGCATTCGTCGTTAGACCATGTGGCTGCGACGTCCAGGAGATGCCCGTTGCCGAAACATTGTATTGAAAAATCGCCACGTAGATGCAGATGCTTCCCGTTGGTAACGGTCTCCCGTAAGGCGGATTCGGACACCTGTAAAGACGCAGTGAGTTGCTCCAGGGCCTCCCCCGCGATGCGGCCCCAAACCTGGAACTCGGCGGCACGCAATCGAACCCTGTCTGCTCCGACGTCGTTGAAATAGTTGACGAGCTTCTGGACATCACGAGGATCTTCAGTCTTTGTCCAATTATGTGGATCCCCTGGTAGTGGACGTTGGACCAGCGACTGGTGCATCCAGACGACGCCAACCACGTATCGGTCAAGAGAATCTGTCATGACGCCTACGATGGGACAACACTGATAAAGTGGACGAGAAAGCCTGATGTGCAAACCAAGCTGTGCTGCAAAACATACCGTATCGACGAACACATGGGTAGAAATGGGCTGCGATGAACGTGCCGTCGTGAGAGAGAGACCCCCGGCCAGCCGTTGGCGCATGCCGCAACAGGATCGTCAATCCGAAGTTTGAACAGTGACATTGCATTTCGCCCCACAAGCGCGATCTGATCGACCGAAACCCACATCAAGCGACCAACTTTCGATACAAATCTTGGTATGGCTCGTGACTGGAACGACGCCAACGGAGGATAAGCGACAGCAAAGCGCCGGTCCCTTGCCGCGCCTGATGTTGCATTTAGAAGGCTGGTGTTCTGCCTCGCAACGTTCACATATAAGGGCACCCGCCATCACCTCCCAAAGCACTTGATGCGGCAACGCATCTTCGCCAACCAAACAATTAGGCTACGCTTTCGCTTACGCAAGAAAGGCGTGCATCACGACCAGATACGTGGACTCAACACATCATGGCCCTGGGAAAGATGACAGTTGCGCTCGCTGTTGCCTATGCAATGGCAAAGTTGTAAGTACATTGGCAATCTAGTTACAGCAGCGGCTGATGCACGCTAGTCTGGACAAAGACAAGACTCTGCTGCCGGACCTTGACAGACCATATGAAGAACCGCGGTCACGTCGGTCCAGCCGACGCGAGAGCTATGCTTCCTCGTCGCGGTACTCTGCCCAGGCGCCTACGTCGCGACGACGGGGCCGGTACGACTGAATGAATATCGTGACCCGAGAGAGTGGTGTGGCGATGAATCGGCCGGTCCGTTTGGACGCTTGACGTGCGGATCGAGTAGTGTAGTGTAGAGTGACACGCGGGTAGATTGATCGCTGCGTCGTAGCATGGCACCCCAGGAGGAATGCAATACCTACACAGCGCATTGAAGTTGTCCTCTGATCGTGTGCGTTCATCGTGTGCATTCATCGCGTGAAGTGAAGGTCGCGTCCGGCTGGCAGTACGGTATTTGCTGGCAGGACGTTAGTGAAATACCGAACGGCAAAGATGGCATACGGACGTCGATGGCAGTGGGTAGCGATGATGGCGACGGGTGTGAGAGTCACGAATCCAAGAAGCACGATAGCAATCCACTCAGGCCTGCTCTGCTGGATGACGCGAACTAAGCATGAAAGGACCAAAGTCGAGACAAACAACAGCGTTTTCGCGAGCATTGCCTGAGCGCGCCGAAAGGACGGACATCGAAGTGGGAGGATGGTTAACCCTGAGGTCGTGTGGCAAAGGCCCGGGGTAGCTCAAGCGTCTAACAGCCGACAATGTGAGGACGTCGTCTGCCGTCGTGTCCATCCTGTCCGTGTTGGTACCAACGAGTGCGACTTGGGGGCCACAGGGTGATGCGATGACAGATCGCTGGCCATTGGCTCATCAAAAGTTCATCACTGTCGAATCACAGACCAATCATGGAGCGACCGTCCATCACGACTGCGGGGGTGAAAGGCGAGAAGCTCAATCTCAAATTAGGTTGCCAGCCACGCCCGAACCTGTTTGCCCATACTCAGCCCATCCCCAAGACATCCTTCCACGTCCTCGCTGTCCTGGCCGCAGGGGCTACGGATCACATGAGTTGAATGTCTCCGCGTCAGCCAAGGTCGCGTCCCCAAAGAAATGCTCGACAATGCCCCGCGTGAACAAGCCCATGGACCGCTTCAGTTTCTCCATACTCTCGTCAAACAGTATGGTAATGTCGATCAGGTTCTGCATTGCGCCGTAGGCACGAGGCAGCAGGCTCTGGAAGGCGGACGCAGTCTCATTCATGGTGGCCTCCATGCGGGCCAGAGTCGACACTGTGTCGTTCATAGTAGCCTCCATGCGAACCAGCCGCGTGTCGAAGTCTGCCCATCCTTTGCCGTCTGTCCGACCTTGGCTAGAATCAATTCAGGTTAGTCGGGCAAGCAGGGGGCGATGACAGGGATGGCGACCAGTCGCGGTTGCAACACACCTTCGGTGGGCCCCACACCGGGGGCATGCGCCGCCGTTCCTCGCCATGGCAGCCGACATGGAGAGGGGTGAGGAAGGAGCGACGGCATTGACCGGGGTGGACGGGCATGTTGGCAGGGTGAAGTCCAGGTCGGGCAGGTCGATAGGGGCGGGATGGAACAGGGCGGCTGTTTCTGGGTCCAAATCGAGGAACACATCGTCCTGGCCATGCGAATAGGTAGACGGGAAGGAGTACAGGTTGATGGACTCAGCGAGGAGCGGCCCAAAGAGATCGTCTTCGCGTTGGACGGCCTCTTCGAGACGCATGTATTCCGGCCAGTGGCTCGTCTGGGACATGACGAGGATGTATATCTGGGAGATGTATCCGGTATCCGACTAGTGATCTGGTTCTGGCGGTGATCTGGCATCTAACAGGTGTAGGTAGTTCAGAGGCATACCGCGTGGCGTCTGGCCACCGCGGACACCTTCGTCTTATACGACCTGCTGGGGTCATAGAACGCAGACTTCGGCGAGACGTCGTCCTGCGGTGTTTGGCGGGGTTGGTGTGTGTCTGGCGGGACGGCGTGTAGTTGGAATGCATGTCCGACCCAACTGGCGCTTATCTGGTGCAGAGGGCCCCGTACCTGGCGCATCCGCCGCGGTGCGCGATTTGACTTTTGACGTCTGATAATTGCCATCTGACAACTGACGTCCGGCAATTGACGTCCGGCCATTAGCGGCCTGCGTCCCGGATCCATGGTGGGACATGCCTCGCCCACAATCAACTCTGGCTTATGACCGACAACGAACATGCAACATGGGACGGCCGCCAGTTGCCCTTGCTATATAGCTCGCAGGGCGACCGTCGCCTGTCGCGGCGGCGGCAAAGGAGGAGACGCTTGCACTTCTCACAACCTGCCACAAGCCGGTGCCACCCACAACCCAGTGCCCAAGACCGAAGGCCCCCCCACACCAAGACGATGAAGTTCCTCCTCCTTTTCCCTCTCGTCCACGCCGGCGTGCTGGCCCTGCACAACGGCCCCTGCATCTGCATGTCGAGTCCCGTCGTCGCCCTCGAGGCCGGTCGGTCGGTGGTGTCTGCTGAGTACGTTGGTTCGTTCGCATGGAGCGGTGCCGAGTGATGCAGCAGCGAGTGGTGCAGCAGCGAATGGTGCAGCAGCGAATGGTGCAGCAGCGAGTGGCGCAGCAGCGAGTGATGCAGCAGCAAGTGATGCTGTTGGTGTGGCCGTTGGCGCGATGTTGCTGGTGTGCTAGGGTGTGGTGTGTGGTGTGTGGGCTGTTGCTAACTGCGGCTGCTTCTAGTGTGGAGGACGCGCTGGATCGACGGTGCGGGGCCACCCTTCAGTTCGAGAATCCGGACTTCCTCCCCGTCAGCTACGCCTTCGAGGCCATACCCTGCTCGGGTCGCAGGGTCGCCAGCTTCGTGGTGCCGACGGGGGCGCCCAGCGGCGATGCACACATTACATGGTAGGATGGCGCACCTGCATGCCCACCTGGTCACGCCTGGCGATCGCGCCAGACGGACGAGACGGGCGACGAGACGGGCGACCAGGACAGGCGACAAGACAGACATCCACGCTAACACGTTTCTAGGCAATGCGCGGGATTACCGCCAACGTGCTCTCACGCCACGATCACCGGAGGCCGCGGCGACCCCAACCTGCCACTGGCAAATGTCGGCCGGATCGGGTGCGTGTCGGAGTCGGTGGTGACGCGGAGCACGCTGGC